CCCCCCCCATCACAATCACGTTCTCGCCCAACCCACGTCAAGTACTCTGTACCGTACCTCCATTTATTGTTCTTTTTATTATTACTATTATTTCATCCGACTCTGTTTGTTTGAAATCAATCCCTCTTCCATCTGACTCCTACTCCCAGTTTGTTTGAACTATTGGGATAATTCCTCACTAATCTACTTTTCCCCTAGCGCCTGATAACCCTCAGACTGCCTCCCTGTGCTGTCATTCCTCAATCTCTCTCTCTCCCTCTCTTTTTTTGCTGTTCTTCTTCTTCCCTCCTGCAGCGGTCGCCCTTGCATCATCCATCCATACGAACTATTCCCCTTCCCCCCAATTTACTTACTTTGACAGTTCCTTTTTCTACCTCTTTCCTTGGATTAGTCCCTTTTCTTTTTTTTTTTTTTACTTTCCTTTGTGTCATCTCATCAATTCCCTTTTCCTCTCCAATCTCCGAGACCAGTCATTTTTGCTCCTTCACCGATCTTCTTCCCACACTCCTTTGGCCGCCCGCCCGTCCTTGAATCCCTCTCACCCACCCACCCCCCGATTCTTTTTTTCCCTCGAATTTCCCTCGATCGTGTGCGCGCGCGGTGGGCCTCTGAGACACAACTCACATTCTCACTGATGGGGCCATCCTCGTTGTAGCGAACGCCTCTGAGTCCGCGATTCACCCATATATCACTTCGCCTCCCTCCCTCCTACCTACCTCCCCGACGATCAGCACCGTCCCAGTATGGGTGTTTCCCCGGCCGGCAATCATCATCGACGGCGGAGCTCAGTGTTGGCTGCAGGTTCCCATTCGGCGGCTTTTGATCCAAGGGACGACATTGCAAGGGTGACCGGGGACGGAGTCGCTTCGAAAAGAGAGGAGAAGAAGTCCTCACCGGCTGAGGACGCAGACGAGTCGGACCTGTCCTCCATTGCGGAAAGCAGCGAAATGGATTACACGAGCTCGGATGAAGACATCCACGATGATGAGGAGACCGGCCTGACTGCGAGGCAGAGACGTCAGCGACGGCGTAGAAGACAGCAGCGCAGGCAGTTGGATGCCCGCATAGCCGATGTCAAGGCCTCGAAACAGGACTGGCTGCCACTGGGAATGGGCGATCGGGACATCCTCCAAAAGCTTCTAGTCAACGGTGGCTTAATCCTCATGTGGTACTTTTTCTCGCTGTCGATTTCAATTGTAAGTTTTGATCCTAGGGACGGAGCTGGGCAGGTGCTGGAAATCTACTAACCGGGTCGCGTGCCCTCTCTACAGTACAACAAGTGGATGTTTTCAGACAATAACGTCGTGTTTCCGTTCCCTCTCTTCACCACCAGCCTGCATATGGCTGTTCAGTTCACACTCTCTTCCCTTCTGCTCTACTTGATACCATCGTTGCGCCCGCAGCACCCTCACACCTCCACGCCATCCGGTTCGCCCGTCCGAGGTCATGATAACTCGGAGAAAGGGCCGATCCTCACCAAATTCTTCTACTTTACTCGTCTGGTTCCCTGCGGTGCAGCAACCTCCCTCGACATTGGTCTTGGAAATATGTCCTTGAAGTTCATCTCCCTCACTTTTCTTACCATGTGCAAATCGTCCGCCCTCGCCTTTGTTCTTCTGTTTGCCTTCCTCTTCCGCCTCGAGACTCCCTCAGTTAGATTGATAATCATTATCGCCACAATGACTGTAGGTGTTGTCATGATGGTCGCTGGCGAGACCGCTTTCAATGTAGTCGGGTTCGTCCTGGTCATTGCATCCGCGTTCTTCTCGGGTTTCCGATGGGGTCTGACCCAGATCCTCCTCCTCCGCCACCCAGCGACGGCCAATCCCTTCTCTACTCTATTTTTCCTTACCCCCGTCATGTTTGTGTCTCTTATTATCATTGCGCTGGCCGTGGAGGGACCCTCCGAGATCGCTGCGGGATTCCATGCGTTGGCCGAGGCTCGCGGTAGCCTGTTCGGGATGGGCCTGTTGATCTTCCCCGGCCTTCTCGCTTTCTGTATGATTTCGTCCGAATTCGCGCTCCTCAAGCGCTCCTCGGTGGTAACCTTGAGCATCTGCGGTATCTTCAAGGAAGTGGTCACCATCAGTGCAGCGGGGGTGATTTTCCACGACCAGCTCACCTTCATCAACATCACTGGCTTGTTTGTGACCATCGCCAGCATTGGTACATATAACTACATGAAGATTGCGAAGATGCGTGCGGAAGCTCGGAAGGGATCTTGGACGCGCAGTCCGAACCTTGACTCCGAGGCCGACGACTCGGATCCCACGGGCGAGCGCGGCGAATATCAGCGGATCCGCCACCCTGAGGCAGGCATGCGATACTCGCCGGACGACCTGGACGACGATGAGAATGTCAACATCACGCCCGCCGACAACCTGAACCCCGGCCGCCGCTCCTTCCGCGTCCGTGCCAGCGGCGCCAGCAGCAATGTGCATGGGCTGAGCATCAACACCTCGAACCTCAGCGACCACGATCGGTCGCTTTCCCCGCGGGTCGCCGGTCCCTCCCCGTTGAAATCTGCACCGCCGGTCATCACTTCGCTTGAGGCGGAGCTTCACAAGTCGGATCGGCGGCAAAGCTTCGGGGGCGCTGTGCAACCATCCCCGGATAGGCTCTCCCATGGGGAGGGGCGATCCGCCCACTGAAGACCAACCCTGGCGGCTGAGTTCTTCTCTCATGATTTTGGGAACCGCTGGTCTGGTTCAGCTCACGGCTCCGCTGTTCCACGAAACACTTTTGACAGCACTCTGTCCACACAGCATTTGATGTGATGGCCTTTGGCAAGAGGCTGACGGTACCTTGCATCCTGAAACCATCCATGTGAATTTTCTTTTTTCCGTTGGCTCGAAAGTCGACATGCCCGAGAGGTGGCATGTGTGGAGTACATTTGGCGTTGTGCACATAATATCAGACCCGGTCTGAGATAGAGGTTTATTTATCGCGTGATACCATGTTATCTATCTCTTAGTCCGCCACAGGGAGAGGGTTTTGCTTGCGATCGCATTTGCCGGCATTCTGCCTTGGTTGTTTGATGTCTACAGCCCGAGTGCATCATGGATACCCCATATACCAATATATTTTACCATGATTTGTGTTATTCTCTCTTGGTAGGCTTAGTGTGTATTCATGATTAGGTTGAATCTGTTCTGTGTTAAGATAATAAAATCGATGACTGTGTCTTCTGCATTGGAAATGGTGATTAGGTCGAATGAGTCGTATGTGTAGGCAGGCTATTGAACTGGATTGCTGCGGGAATCGAACGACCTTCCCTTTCCGCTTTACATCCTACTTGACGCCGCTTTTTGCTCACTAAGCGGCCCGGAATGTGGAAGGAGTATAAAAGTGCGTGTTCTAAGTTGACAATCCTACTAGCAATCCTTCGAGATGAAGCACTAGGACTATCTCAATTACCGCAACAAAATGCTTCATACAAGATACACATACTTTACATTCCCAACGCCTTGCCACTCTGCCCACTCTCGCCCTCTGGTCATCACTTCACCCTTGAACCAGCCTTGCTCCCATCATCACTCCAAGTCTTCCAACCCCATCACCTCCCAGAAACCCACCACGCCCCCACCAACCCCATCACAGCGAAGACCACAGCCCATCGCGCCAACCCCCGCTTAATATGATAAGCCGCCACGCGATCGATCGCTTTGGAATCATTGATTCTCGGGAAAGGAATACCCTTGGGAACCTCCTTGCCCAGAGCCCGACACAGTGGCTCCCACCCCTCCTTGACACTGAACAACACCAACTGATCCGCGGGCACCACCTCCTTCAGCCACTCCAGATGCCGGTCGTAGATCCAGGCGTTGTCGCGGCTATTGTCGTAGATCCGATCCCACTGGCGCTGCAGCAGGTCGATATATGTCACGAAGTACCGCATCCCCGGTAAGGGGAGCAGAACCGCCCCTAGAAACCACAGCTTGGCCAGGGAGCTGATCTGCTGCATGCTCTGCACCCAGCTGTCGCGATCGCGCACGGTCACGATCACTTTGGCATGGGGATAGAGCTCGAGCAGTTCGGGGACCAGTTGGCTGGCCGGGGCGTCGGTGATCGCGCCGTAGCCGGCGGTGCGGGCACGCAGCCGCTGCAGGGTTTGGGGTCTATCGCCCGCGAGCCAGGTGCGCAAGATGGCGTTCCACGATTGAATCTCAAGGGGGGGTCCCATGGTGGTTTGCGTGCCCCCGTGGTAGACGGGGGCGTCCAGGAGGATCTCTAGGGCTGCAGTGAAGGATGCGGTTCCGGTGCGGGAGAGCCCCGCCCCGATCACCTGCAGGTCCGTGCCGGGGCGCGGGACGGACGCTTGTTGGCCCATTGTTGGATTTCAGTTAGAACGTAGAAGGTAATCAAGCTTGTGCTTTCGATGTTGAAGTTAGGGTGGAGGGGAATCCTGGGTTTTAAATGAATGCCCTGGGGTGACTCTCGTTGGAGATGAGGTGATGATGGGGGCAGTGCTGGAGCAGGGCTAGTGCTGACCGTCACGGCTGGGATATACATGTAGTTGGTTAGTTACTAGGTAGAGAGTTACACACCTCACATAAGCTTTCTAGATGTCTATCGAACTGGACTGCTGTGGAGATCCAGCAACTTTCCCTTTCTGCTTGAGATCGGACGTGGTGCGGCGTCCTGCTCACTGTTACCGGGGGAGGAGGCCAAACAGCAGCTGTGGAATTTATAGCCCACGCTCGATGTACAGTAACTTACTCGGTAGAAGAGTTAGTCGCGGACGCAGTGGCTACTAAGTTCGGAGGGTCCCGGCGGCAGATCCGCTCCTTCCACTGGGTCAGATCCATGGCTCATTTAATTCTCCCACTAGATCCGTCCTCTCCAATGTAACCAATGTTACCAATGTAACTACCTGAGCAAATCTTACCAGGGATGGCTGTTAGACTACCTAGTAGCATTACCGACATTGAACCCTTCCTTGTCGATTTCTTCTTTTTCTCTTCCCCTTTCTTCCTCTCTTTCTGTCTTTCTCTTCTCCTTCCCGCTCTACCAGCCAGGCAATAGCAAGCCCCGAGCCAAGCCAGATAAGCCCGCTGGGGACATCCCCATCCCTCCCCGCATTCAATCAACCGCCGATCGAGAATTGAGCGCCTAAGGGGCGATTGAGTGGGCCTGCAAATCCAGCCCAACTGATCTGATGTTCGATCTTACTGTCCTTTCGACTTGATTAAGCGAGTATGGTTCTGTCCATCCTTCAGAAACGACTCCCTCGAACCATTCTACTTTTACTTGGGGCGATCGTCGTCATTCTGAGCTTCTCGCCGATCCACTATGCGCAAGTGACAGCGCGGGATCGGCCCGAGGATGAGTCGATCTCCCTCCATCCCATCAGCAACGAGACTTTAGGGGTGCGCACGGAAATTCTGCTGGAAGGGATGGCTGTGTACTAACTAGACGCAGACTCAGAAGATTTTCGTTGTGAACCTCCCATCCAGACCCGATAAGAGGGACAATATTATCTTGGGTTCATCGGTCAGCGGCTTCCGCGTGGAATGGGTCGATGGGGTTACCCCGGACGAAGTCAATCCCAAATCAATACCTCATGTAAGCCTGAAAAAGTGCAAAACTTAATTCTGTATTGGTTGCTGAGGAGCTCCTCCAGCATTGGAATCCAGACCACAAGCCGACGGAATATGCGGCCCGGCGTGCGCATGTCAATGCAATGCAGCAGTATGCAACATCCCGCTTGCTGTCCTGCAATACCTGCTGACCCTCGCGCAGAATCGTCCAAGGCAGACTCGGAAGCGCTATCATCATGGAGGACGATGTCGACTGGGATGTGACCCTCCAAACGCAGCTCCAGAGCTATGCGCTCGCCGTCCGAGCTCTGCAGGGCTCGGATGGCAACTCCACCGGGTCTCCCTACGGCGACGACTGGGATGTCCTCTGGCTCGGCCACTGCGGTTTGAGTTGCAAGACCGAGCTGCCGGTTTTCCTGTCGCATCAGGATTCCACAGTGTTACCGCCCCATCACTTCCTACCTTACTGGCGCGATCCGCCTCCTATCGATCGACCCGACCATACGCGTCTGGTCTGCAGCGTGGGCGATGCGGTCTGCTCTCTGGTCTATGCTGTGAGCTACTTCGGCGCCCAGAAGATCCTGGCGGCGCTCTCCGTTAGCCCTGGGCAGCTGGCGGAGCAGATTGATATCGGGGCTCAATTCGATGTGTCGTTGGGCCGGATGTGCGGGCATGGGTATCTGCGGTGCTTCGGCGCGTATCCGTCGCTGACGGGGGGGTATCAGCCCGCTGGGTCATTCTCCAAGACCTCCGATATACATGATCAGGATGACAGTGTGCACGGGGCTTATAGTTTCGGGGTGATGTATAGTACCATGCTGAACGTCAACCGGCTCCTGAGCGGCGAGAGGACGGTCCATGCGACGTGGGATGATGTAGGAGTGCCGTTGGATGCTGACCCGAGGAACTTCACGGTGCTTGGAGGGTCAGTTGCGATGTTAGGGGAGGATGGGATGCAGAAGATTGTGGATGTCTCTGCGGACTAGCTTGTGCTGCCGTGGCAACAGGTGCAGGTTGGTTGATTGATGCATTCATTCGTTAGACAGCGAATCGTGCTAGGCAGTCTAGCGGCAGATCTCGATCTAAGGACTCAGCGTGGCACGACCTCTCTATATATAGATAATGTTGAAGTAATACATGCGATTGAAATCAATTGCCTGAATACACAGAACAGCTTGAATTTGGCCGTTGCACAATGGTCCCAATTCATAGATTCACGCATTCATTCCCCGCAGAGCAGCTACTTGTGCTGTCATTCTACCACCGCCTTTTCAACGCCTGAAGTCTTTCCTTCAAGATTCACCAGAGATCATTGGAGGGGTGAGACCTAGTTCTCACCACAAATTTTTTAAGCAAACTTCGAATCTTTGCTGATGATTCACATCTAGCACTACTCCATTGTCTCGTTGGGCCCCCTGCTAGAAGACATGAGTCTACAAAACCCGAGCTTCGTAATCGTCCACCACAGCCTTGAATCCAGGATTTTGTAAAGAGTAGCCGTGGACATCCAACCTCTGGGATCGTCACCTGGCCCGTCCAGCTCTACAGCTTCGACCTCGAGTACTCCAACGTCTTCTTCCTGTGGATTGACCCCCGATGAGGCGGGTGGGTTCGTCTCGTGTTATTTTAATATCACTAGGGCGGAGGGGGCGGAGTCGGTGCGCGAGTCGGGGTCGGGGTCTGCGACGGTGGCCCCTGCGGTGGTCTCGCTAACGCGGGGGACTGGGTATGGGTATGGGTATGGGCCTGGGTATGGGCCTGGGCGTGGACATGTTACATGAATACCAGTATTACTAGGTGGAAAGTTTCATGTATATATTGGGGGTGGAGGGGTGGTTGTATGGGTGTTGTTGGATATATTCTCGGTTTGGTTGGGTGGTAGCGTATAGTTCTGAGTAGGATTATAGCAAGGCAATCAGACTTGTTCCTGATACAAATCCGGGTGTTTTAGAGGTGATAGATTGTACTGATCTGGCTATTTGTTGACACTGTCTCCATACTCTTGAGCTCAGTGCCACTATAGTCTAACTCGTGATAATGTGTGGTATCCCTTGTCCGACCTCAGCACCCGTCCCTTCACTCCTTGATATAAGTCTTGAAGAGGCTCGCCAGCTCGAAAAAGCTGGCCTTGTAGAACCGCTCCTGCGTGGTCAGGTTGACATACTGTCACTCCAATTAGCTTACCCCACCCTCGGAAACTGAGGACAGAAGTCGGGTACTCACCTGCAAGCCAAACTTGACCGTGAACCCGGCCGTCCACTCGAGGTTATCGGCAATGGACCACGCCAGACACCCTACCAGATTGACCCCCTCCGCCACGGCGATCAGCATGGCCTCCACGTAGTCACGGTAGTACGCGGACCGGACCGGGTCGGTCAGAATATCCTCGCGCTTGGACTTGTAGGCCTCGAAGGGCTCGGTCCAGCCGAACTCGGTGATGACAATGCCGTTGGCCGGCTGCCACGTGCGCTGGATGTAGTGCAGGAACGCGGGGAGCCACTCGGTGGCTTTGTGCAGCCACCGGGTGTTGGGGTCGGAGGCCGGACCGATCAGCCACCCGCCCTCGCTTGCCGGTAAGGTGTAGGTCGAGTTGTAGCACTGCGGGTAGAGGCTGTTACTCGGGTCGGCGAGGCAGCCCTCTATCCCGGCGTCGGGCGCCATGTAGTAGGCCGCGGTGTAGGCGTCGTGCGCGAAGTAGTCGCTCGCGCCCTGGATGAGGCTCTTCTCGGCCGCGGTGAACTCGGGCAGGAAGCTGGATGTGAAGTTTTTGAGGCGGGCTGGGTAGTCGCCTAGGAATAGGGGGTCGGCGAACCATCCTTCGTTAAAGGCCCAGGCTCGTTCGACGGCTTCGGCGTCCGCGCTGGAGTTCGTTCGGGGCAGTTTGTACCCGCCGTTGTTCTTGACGCTGATCGGGGCGGTGATGTTGAGGGACCGTGCGAGGTGGTAGGTCTTGCCGGCAGCCAGGAGCATGTAGTGTCCGCACCAGAACTTTTGATGGTGGGCGGGGATGGTTGTTGCTGTGGTGAAGTAGCCGTCCGGCACGGGGTACTCGCCGCAGAAGGAGATGGGCTCGTTGAACGTATACCACTGCGCTACTTTGCCGCCCCATCGGGTTAGGAGTACGCGAGCGTATGCGAGGTAGTCGTTGACGATTTTCTCGGAGGTCCATCCACCGTATGAGAGCTGCAGGAAGAGTGGCAGGTCCCAGTGGTAGAGGGTGACCTGCGGTTGCACCCCGTATTCCAAGCAGGTGTCGATCACGTCGTCGTAGTGCTGGAGACCAGCTTCGTTGATCGGGCCATTGCCGAAGGGGAAGATCCGGGACCAGGAGATGGAGAAGGAATAGGCTTTGACGCCCATGGCGGCGATGCGTTGGATGTCTGGTCGTAGTGGTTAGATCTGGGTTCTCCCGAGAGGACTGGAAGGTATCATGAGGGGAGATGTGTACCCTCTTTGTAGGTGTAGTACTGGTTGATCGCAACATCGCCAGTTTGGTTGTCAGCTACATTCATCGCTCGATGCGTGAAGGCATCCCATATGCTGGGGCCACGGCCGTCGGCTTTGACAGCCCCCTCGACCTGGTACGAGGCACTGGTGACGCCCCACCAGAATCCCTTGGGGAAGGACCAGCTATCATTCTTCCCCTGGGCGGGAATCTGGGCGCCGGTCAGGTAGGAGGGATAGTATAACTGGGGCGGTGGGATTAGTTGAGAGCTTGGGATTGGAGTGGGCTCCACGGTGGAATTGACCGCTGCGGTCTCGACGGGACCGATGTAGATGTTCCACAGGTCTATGGTATATGAGCTGGGGTCCCTACGGAGCGCCCCATTAGGGAAGAAGCTGACCTTCGACTGTGAGGTTAAGGCTGGTGACTAGAGGCGCCGAGCTGGTGGTTGGAGTTCCATTGCTCGCGTCTATAGCTGCAACCGGGTGAATGGCAAGCAGCGCGGTGAGGAAGGGTACGCGCATGATGTTGTTGATGATGCTCAAAGTCTATAAACTTCTGAGATGCTCATGATTCTTTCAAGTCTGCCCATGCTGAGAGCGTC